CGAATGGTATACTTTAAAAAAATCACAACTTTTGGTGCAAATACAGAATTTTTAAAATATGTCTATATGGACATATAGATGTTTTATTTACGAATGGCATGTGAAAAATCAAAATCCCGGTAGGTTTTTTTTTCACACGGTACGTATCCTAATCGTCCACGATTTCCTACAATAGAGGCCTGGGATCAATCAACTCCTTAATGTAACAAGGCTTGGGTTCTAACCCATGATCTTCTGCTCAATAAGCAAAAACGGTTGCTCTCTAGCCACCGATCCCCTTACATTACCACAATCTACGACCGACTAAACAAAAAGTATTCAAATGAAGTGATGTTCCCGAAAGCAGTTAACATTTTTTTTCAAACTCAATCACGCATACACGCTTTCCGAAATTCCAAACTCAACAAACGTATTGAATCGCAAAAACCGAACTACACACGACGCGCGAAAATCGTATTGAGGCATTAAAACACAATCGATCACAGCACTCCTTATATTATATCTCCTAAATCTGTGAAAATAGTTTGCCCCACTCACTTCGCACATTCCTCATTGACCCTCTCCTCTGTTAATAAATTGCTATAAATTGTTAATTAACATAATATGTAACATAAGTCCTGGGAATACTATCAGATATTTATTTGACGGCATGAAAAAACACACACATGTCAACCAATGCACTTGTCACGCTTATTTATACTACTACTCAAACTCAAATTGCGCAGTAGTTTCCATTAAAATGTCGTACAAGCTGAATTTATGTGCACAAGTCGCCAACCTTTTTGGACGACTCAGTACAAGTGAAACTCTAAGCGTGTTCAAAGACAAGCCAATATCATAATCAACTATTTATTGTGTTTTGAAGGATTGTCGTGATGGTAAAGAACCGGAATATAAAAAGAAATGCGGTCGCCCAACAAAATTGAGTGCCAGAACAACCAAAAAATGTTGTCAAGTGCTGAAAACAAATTTAGTCATTCAACACGCAAATAAGCACGAAAATTTCATGTTTCAAACATGGCAATCCATCGAATTAAAAAAAAATACAACGTAATCTATCGGAAACGTCATCGTGCTCCAAAATATACACAGCAACAACTCGAAAAATACCAAAATGTTGCCGTGCACTTCGTCGCGAACCTTTTGCGAATAAAAAATGCATCATTTTGGAACTGAGCAAAAAATACCATTTGTACCGAAAAAGGACAATCCATCAAACGTGCCTCAGGCTCGTCCAATCGGGTGTACTCAAGGCTACGGTGTACGACAACGGCTGGGAAGCTCAAATTGAGCAACAATTGGTTGATCGAATCAAGCAAAATTTAAAAGAAATCGTCAAAGACACCGTCCAAACCCTGACTCAACAATTTCGCTGCACACTGCGAAAAATCGAAGATAATGGTCCATTGAGTGTACTGTAAATACATTTTTCAACAGTTTATAAATATAATAAAATACCCTCAAGAAGATTTTAAATTTAGATTGTTTGATTTCAAATAACATGCTTTTGATTTTTTCCCAGGACTTATGTTACATTTTTTTTTTTTTTTTTTCTTTATTTTTGTGATTTTTAGCCGTAGGCTAGTTCATCACATACTTATGTTACATATGTTATGATGTTCATCTTGCTGATGACCACGGTTTAACAATTTAGAATTACTGGCAGCCCTGGTTCCTTTATCTAGCAACAAGGCTGTTGCCTAAAACAATTCAATTCTATACATCATTGACAAATTTCATCACAATTTGGATATTTTGAAAAACAACATTAATGAACAAAAGATACCCACTGCGAAAGAATCTGTCTGACTATCTGAGCCCCGTAAAAAAAAACTCAAATATTTACGTTGCGTGCAACGAGGAATATAACATCATTCAGTTAGCCCTTCGTTGCCTTGCATTTCATTCACAAGAATACTTTTAGGTTATCGTGTCTCAATACTACAACCCATATACACCGTTACCTTGCAACTGGCAGCATTTATCAACACAACACAAGTGTTTAAAATATATACCTTAGATACAAAATTCATTAGTTTACTTAGACTTTAAAAATCCCCAAAAAGGTGATCTTATACGAAATTACGAACACCGAACACCGAGAACACCGAACATTGTTTTGGCAGACTTCTACTCGTTGGGGAAACGTCACCAGCGATTCCCATTCCGACTCCAGCTCTAGATCTTGACCCGTCCGTGTAACGATGCATGTAGTTTGGGTACAATCCGTTCAGCTCTGCTACCGATCTCCTAAGGGCTACGTAATTGTCCCCGGCTCTGAACTTCTCCTTTATCCGGCACTGGGGGGAGCTCTGCGTTGGCGATTGTACGGAAAACTCTGTCCCCCTCGCTGAGGAGGCAGATTCTGTCGTTTCCAGCAGTATTTGCTGAAAATGCAGCGGCTTTGTTGGCAATGGCTGCGTAGATGCGGTACCGGAAAGGGAGAGTGCCGGCTTCGACACAGCTGGCATCGGCTGGCATCGGCTGGCGTCGAGGGTAGGAGACCGGATATGATGCGCGTGTAGCTATTGTACACCGGAGCGAGTATTTGTATTGCCTTTTCGGTAGCGATGCAGGTCAGCTCCAGTCCATACATCAGCCGGCTGTCTACGATGGCCCGGGCAACATGGAAGCGTACTTCTCTGTTGTTGGACCGGTGGGGATGGGAGATTGTGCGGATGAGGTTTATCCTGCTGCGACAGCTGGCCTTGACCCCTTGAAGGTGCTGGTCAAAACTCAGCGACCGGTCAATGACAACCCCCAGCAGTTTCACAGTTTTATTCAATGGGATAGCTTGATTACCGATCTTTATGGGAGGTCCACAGACCCGATATCAGACTGGCAAACGTGGCACCTAGCGCTCTTTCCAGCAGACAACTGAAAACCTTTCAAAGCGGCCCATCTGGCTACGGCGGAAACCCCTGCTTGGGCTCTAATCCTCGTTCGTCCCGGAATTTGACCTGTGGCCACGTCGTCTGCGTACACGAAAATGTAGATGTTCACTGATAACCGCTCGAAGACACTGTTCATGGCTACCACGAACAAAGTGACAACGATCACAGAACCTTGGGGAACGCCGGTTTCCTCGCAGAAAGTGCGGGATTCGGTATTACCTACCGAGACTCGGAAGGATCTGCCAGTCAGGAAATTTTGGACGAAAGGGATGATATGGCCGCTAAGGCCTTAGCTGATGAGTTGCTTCAGTACCACGGGCGTCCATGTACGGTTGAAGGCTTTCGCAATTTCCAGGGAAACCAACTCCGTATGGAGACCATTATCCTTGGCATCCTTGAGGAGCTCTCCTAGCGTCGCAAAATACGTAGATGTACCGTGGCCTTGCCGGTATGTGTGTTGGCGATGGTCTAGAAAGCCCCCAGACTCGAGAAACTGCTTCAGTCGTCGGTTGACCATCCACTCGAAAACCTTTGCCATGCAGCAGGTGAGCGCAATGGGTCGGAACTTCGCCACATCCTGTGTCAGCTCGTTTGCTTTGGGGATGGGGATAACCAAGCTCTCCCTCCAATGCTCTGGATACGAGTCTGTCTGCCAAAGCTGGTTGAAGAGTTCCAGCATTTTTACTTTACTCGGAATAGGCAGGTTCTTGAGCAGCAGGTAGCCGATCTCGTCTGGGCCTGCTGATTTCCCGTTGCTTCTACTAAGCGCGAACTGAAGCTCCTGCCAGGTGAAATCGTGTTTGATCGTGTCCGGAGAAACTCGAAAACTGCTTACGGACGAGGTCGATGGGTTTGCTAGCCGTTGAAAGGTCGTCTCGTACTTGGAAATTGCAGAGAGGTCAGCGAAATAGTCGCCAAGCTTATCTGCATCGATCCCGCAGATAGATTTATTGGGGATTGCAAGGGAATTATACTATTGAAATATTTCAGAAAGCGCCCAACAGTGCTCCTTCTACTTGCGTGACAAGCTTTCATTGTTGATTTCAGTGAGGTATTACTCAGGGAACAATGTTAAACACCATTTTTGTACATGGTATTGTAACTAATCTTATATGTGCTTCATTTTGATTTAGGATAAGTGTTTGAACTATGGCTCGGGATTTCCACTGTGGCGTATTTTTGTGGTGCGACATAGTGCAAGCGTGTGAGCATAGTTGGAGCATATACCCTATATAATTTAAAAATCAGCTAGGAAACTAACTTCAAAATGAAGCATTTTAGTCACTTGAAGGTGTCACCTGGGTCGAACTTAGATATAATAAATAGAGATCAAAGTCAAAAGTACTTGAAAATGTTTAATTTTAGATTACAAGCGCAAGTGCGGGTGATTAGGTGAATTAGAGATTTCAATTATTTATTACATTAGACTAATGAGATATCATAACCTTCAAATGAAATTAAATAAGAAAATTCAGAAAGTCTAATAACATTAAAACGATTAAAAAATAAATAGGATGCGGGGGGTCCACTAGGGAGGCAACCAACCTTTAAAGTTGCAGAATAAATCTTTCTATTTAGTTTTGAACTTCAATAACGCAAGCATACCAATAGGATTAATCAGATTAACAAGGAGTAGAATAGGTTAGGAAATAAGTAAAATTATAGGTATGTGACAATTAATAACTTTTAATCTTTAGTAGGTATTGTTTTCCCCTGAATTTATTGTACTCAATTACGAGAATGCTTTCAATACGCGAAATCTCTGATATATGTGGTAATATGAGTTAACTTATTTCTTTTTGTTCATGTACTTACATTTATAAACAGCAGTCAATGTTAATCTATAAACTAAACCCTACGTGACTGTAAAAGTGATCTTTCCTTATGTGGTATTGATGCGTATTTAACTTTTCTCGCTCTCAATTACTAGCTGTAGAAGTACATCTAGAACACTAAATTGAGAGCCGGAAAAAACACTCGCTACAGAACCTTTTAAAGCCTAGAAGCCTAGATCATGAACAAGAGGATTAAAGTCCCGGATAGAGAGAAAAAAAATCCATCTTTTATAAATAACTAACCCATTTTCATTCCAATTTCTCGTTTCAGGTCACACATGAAGTAAAACAATCCTTAAAGGCTGTTTCTAAATTTAACAAAACTAGTTCAAAACAGATTTCAATTCCACATATTTAACATGATTTAACAACACAATGCTCGAAAATTCTTCCCAAATCCAAAATAATGTTGAAAATTTTCTACTTCCAGTATACAGTTGAAAACCTTTGCACAATACAACACAATTAATCAAATTTTATCAATAATCTCTCTCGCCTTCGGCCGTACATGACAGCTTTCAACATTATTAAAATTTACAATATGATTCCGATAATTAATGCAACAACACCTTCGTAGGTTTAGAATTATAAAGAAAGTAGATTGTTATGCTGGTCATAACTTATTATTGGACTTGTGAATATTTGCACTAGGAATAATAATAAGAAGAAGAATAGTTAGATCTCCATTGGACAGAGAAATACTATGATAGAGCATTTACTATTTGTTTTGTTCAGATTGGATCGACTGGAGTGCGGATGAATTTCTACTAGAAAAGAAAAAAGTATAAATAGAACTCTACATATCTACCAAATGACTCAATTTATAAACCAAATCAAGGAACGGAACTCAATGTTAACCTCTTTGTTAGTATAACCAGGTAAAGCAGAACGGAAGGTAGCAACCAACTCGTGATACTTTCTCGATAAATTTATTAACATTCCTCACATCTTCTTATGAACACAATAAAATACAAACCTGGCATGACAGACTGCCATGCTGCAAGAGGCAGAACTAGAAGTGGAGTAGAGCTAGGCTAGAGAAAACTGTTTTCCATATCTATACGATTCGATCGGTACTTTGCGGTAGAAAATTAAGAGAGAAGAATTTAATAAATCAGATTGATATTATTCGATTGTTGGAAACGAGAAATGTGGCCATTCCATTAATGCGCTAACTCATTAAGCTTGGTGTTATCGTTGGATCTCCAGCGGACTCCGTGTTTTCCGTTTCTGTTTATTTCGAACTACGAAGAAAGGATGGGAAGCGAGAAAGGTTCAAACCTAAGGAATCCAGGAGCTTAGCTAAACGTCGAATGCAAAAACCAATTGTGATGTATTACCTATATAAAGTAACATTTCTACTAATCGAAATTGTCATCTTGGAGAAATCAAACCCAAATGATACTATTCATCAAGTGTATCAAATCTGCTGGACTGATTGAAAACAATCCTTAGAATAAGTACCGTGAGGGTCCCTTTTACCTGTTAACTATCTGTTGAAATGTTGATATAAGAGCGTGCGTAGAGTTTAGGCACAATGTGCAATGACATATTTTTATGGATAGATTGAGGAACCAAAATCATTGGTGGTTAGACAAAGACAAATTCAAACGACTCTCTTAAGAATTTGAGCTTTTGAACAGATGAGCATCTGCTGAACATTAACAAGAGCAAACGTTAGATCCAAAAGTTGTGACTATTTTATAGCAAGGACAAACACATTCCCCACATGTGACAATGCTTACAATACCAAATAAATACGACAACAACTAAACCGCTGAACTGCACTTCAATTAATACAATCATTTTTACAATAACATAATTCATGAGATCCTACTTTACAATATTACAGATAAATATCAAAGAAACCAATATGAAGTGGTTAATAAGATGCAAAAAAATCGTATTAAAAGCTGATTTGAAAAATCAAAATAAGCCGTTTTGAATAATTCATCTAAACACAAAGTAAAATAATGCTCAAACTCAAATCGTACGGGATTAGAAAAAAATGCCAAAGATTACACAATACATACACACTATTAAGCTTTGCAGACCATTGCTATGGTTGATTGATCTTTCCTGAGAAGAATACATTTTCATCCAAACTTCATACAGAATATGGTTTTGCATCCATTGTTGCCAGTTCTATTGTTGGCAATTCGAATGAAGGGTGTGTTTTATTAGCATAGGACACTTTCAGATTTACCAAGATCCGTAGTATAATTGAATTGTAAGGCAGATATGCCAGATCAATCTAAAGTACTGACAACACTGTATGCAACTATGAATATTTGTTTATCCGAAAAATCCTTTCGGCGAAATTTGGTCCCTAGATTAAATTTAATAATGCTTGTTTTGCGTTGGTACCCGGGGGTGCCAGTATTGATTTCTTCTGCTTATTCCTAGTTATTTTGCTTCTTACGCGATTGTTATTCCGGCTCCTAAGTAAGTGTTCTTTGAAGCATTTCTACAGTTTTTAAGAGGGAATACCTGTTGAGATCTCTAAAAGGGTACCAACCAGACAAATGCAGGCGATGTTTTTGTCGCAGAAAATAAACAATTACTGTATTCAGTTCTTCATTATTTTATTTTTTTTTCTCAAAATTTGCATAATTACCAAAAAAAAAGCACCGCCGTTTTTTCGTTGAAAAAATCGCTACTCAAATGCGCATTAAAATCGAAAAGCTGGAATATCCGAAAAATTCCATGTAAGATTTTAGACAATTAATTTTTACATCGCAGACAGAAGAACCGGCAAAATTGATAGGTAAGGTAAAATAATGCAGTTTCCAGAGAAACGCGCTTAAAGATTTGAGTTATATTCAAGATCATTTAACACAAGACTAACAGTGAAGGCCCAAGCGCAATGACAGCGGAAGCGGAACGGCAGCAGCAGCGGAAAAGTCCGATCTGAGTAAGTCTACTTGTCGGATTGAAAACTAGTTGGAACCAAATCGACTTCGTTTAGGCATCTTGATGTCATTTGTGACAACTGTCAAATATGCCGTTTCCGTTCCGCTTCCGCCCACATTACGTTCGGTCCTTGACTTACATTCATTCTGCTATTCCATACACAACCTACAAAATATTCTAGAAAGTATAAGTGTGCCGAAAATGCACAAAAAATTCAAATTTTTTGAACCCCACCAACAGGTCCCCCTCCCTTAAATGCCTAGATCGTGGCAAGCTTAATGATACTCTATGCCAAGGGCAGTAGAGAAATGTTCCTTAGCAGAGTTAGAATAAAACGAGTGCATCTGGTTTGATGGTTGAAAATTGAATGATGGTTTAATACTTCTAAACAACGTAGGTAACTAAGAACAGTCGCGTGGCTAAGGGTATTCACGGGTTACTACACATCACTCCTCCCTAATTCACGACTCTTAGGAAGCGACAAAACGTCATCGGTTTGGTGATCCCATCTGGCAGTTGGTTTGAAGTGATTAACCACTTCGTTCTTCATACTCTCGTGCACGAAATACGGAGATTATAGGATCCTTTGTTTGCGATGCTGATTGCTGACTGGTTGTCGCAGATCATCGGAACCGGTCCAGCGTTGGTGATTTCTGACCGCAGGTTGCTTCACCACATAACTTCTTGAATGCTTCGTGAAAGTTTCATGTACTCCGTTTCGCACCACGAAAGAGCCACTGTCGGTTGCTTGTTCACGTTCCAGGCTATAGCTGCTCCCTGCATCGTGAACACATATTATCTAGTTGATCTGCGGCTATCAGGATCTCATCCTCAATTGAAATCGCTATACCCTATTAATTCTCCTGCTTCGATCTTCATGTACTGTAACTTCTTCGTCGCTGTATCCTTAAGGTATCGAATGATTCGCTTAACAGCCTCCCAATGCGGTCTGCTAGGATGTGAAGCGAACTGACTTACTACATTTACGGCAAACGCAATATCGGGTCGAGTCGGCTGTGCCACGAACGATAAACATCCTACCGCTTTCTTGTATGGCACGTTTCTCATCTCCATCTTCTCTTCTTCAGTCTTAAGTGCCATCGACTTTTCCAGTCTAAAACCCGAATCCGCTGGAGTAGCTACCGAATTCGCATCTGCCATTCCAAAGCGTCGAACGATTTCCTTAATGTACGCCTGCTGATCCAACGAAATCTTGCCACCACATCGATCTCGCTTGATTCGGATGCCTGGATAATGTGTGGCCACACCATAGTCCTTCATCTTGAACCTCAGCAATAAGAACGAACTCTTTCAGCTTCTTCTTTAATCGGCAGTCGTTTGTGAAAATAAGCAAGTCGTCTACATATATTGTCACGAAAAGCATCTTATCTCCATACAGCATCCAGTATAGGCAGGCGTCTACCCACGATCGTTGCAGACCAAATTCTCGCAGTGCTTCATCTAGCTTTGGATTCCACAATCGGGCCCGATTGCTTCAAGCCGTATAGTGCCTTCTGCAACTTGCAAACTTTGCCGTTTGAAACCGCGAATCCCTCGGACTGGTCCATGAAAATTTGCTCGACACCTATGTAGGTCACCTTGCATAAATGTGGTAACCACGTCCATTTGGTCCACATCCTAGCCAAATTTTATCGCCACCGCCATTAGATCCGATAATGATCGAATACCGCACCACAGGAGCATAGACTTCTTCGTAGTCAACTCCAGACTTCTGTGAACAGCCCTTATCGACAGGCCGCGCCTTATATAGCTCCAGCCTTCCATTAGGTGATGACGATGATGATGATGATGGTCTCACCTCTTACCCCTACAAAGGTTTGAGCTGGACGGGTTATCTTTAAGATAATTAAATATAAACATTTTAACCAGGTTTGCAAACAAAATAGAGCTGGTTACAATTACAGATATAAATGTCCTGTTAAATATGCTAAAGGCATCAACCAAAAACATTCAAAGGTGTAACTAGTAATCAAGAGTCCAAGAGTCCTCGACAATACTTACATTTACACGTGACCTGGGATTTACACGTTTAAGCTTCCCCAGTGCCAAGACTATATCCAAGGAAACGACTTCCAGCCAACCCTTTAATAATTCAAGGCTTTTGCCACAATATCCACGTAATAGTAATTTATATCTGTATTCCGCGAACGAGGCTCAAACCATTGTAGACTACTCAAACCTATTTTTACTATTACTACTACAAATTCAAAAACTAAAAATCCATCATCACCATCGAGGCAAACAAAGTTGTTTTTTGTATATGCTACACAAATTACTAAAATCTCTTTATGACAGTCTCCATACAAAATAATCCGCTAGAGATAACTTTTTCAAGATACATGATTTATCCATTCATAAAAAATTAACTGCTCAATAAACAGCTTTTACATGTGAAATGCAGCGTCTCTTAAATTCTGCATGTGTAGATGCACGCTTGATGTGTCTAGGCATCGAATTGAAAACATTTATAACTTTGAAAAATAATTAATTTTGTGAATCATTATTCAAAAGAAGTGGTGTTCTTACTTCATCCGCGTTTCTAGTGTTCATCACATGAAAATCACTTCCTCTTTCAATCTGATCACACAAACATCGAGGCAGCAAGCCGTTAACAACTTTAAAAATGAACACCATAGTCAGAAACACAATTCTTTGCTTCACTGACTGCCATTGCAAAGCGTCCAGCATAAAAGTTGAGGAAGTGAATCTATTACATCTTAAAATCAAGAGCATTACTTTATTCTGCAAACGCTGTAATCTCAATATTTATGGTTCATTGACCAAAAATAAAATGGAAGGGCAAAAGTCAAGATGAAGAGAGATGATTGATTCGTATAGCTGTATTTGACTACCAATAGTTAAATCGTTTTTCAAGCGACATAGAATTCCATACTTCTTGGCAATTTTCTTGATGACATTGTCAATATGAGAATTGTACTGGAATTTCCTGAACGCGATCAATTGTCTCATCATCAATAACAACAGAGACATCATCATCTTCACGATTCCGCGAAATTACCATGCATTTAGTTTTACTTATATTCAATTTCAATTAGAACCATCTACTTAGAGAACGCAAATCTTCATTCAGGCGTGAAACGGCTTCTTCTAAATCTTTAGCTGCAATGAATAACACAGTATCGTCAGCAAAAAGATTAATATCACAAATCCGTCATTACGTGCATGTCATTAATATACATAATAAACAAAAGGGGCCCTAATACACTTCCCTCACTTGATTGTAAAAACCCACTTGTTCCGGATGGTTTTGCGTACCTTGGGCAGATTTGTCATCGTCCACGTCTGGTTTTCACTCAATGACGCCATCTCTTCCTTCTTTGCCTCGATCCCGCACTTACGATCTGGTCGCCGCAAAACCTCGTCGTAGCTCTGTGGAACGTCTTCCACAAGCATACCAAGCGTCGATTAAGCTCATGGCTGAGAGGAAATCACAACCGGAAAAGGAACCGTAAGTTATAAAATTACCATTCTTGCCTGGACAAGTGCGCTCCCGACCGCAGTGCCTCAACCCTTGTTGACTTGCTTCAACTGGTCTTGTTTGTTGTGATGGGATCACAGTGGTCGCTGCAGACATCTT